AAGAAGAATCGATGGATAAGCTTTTGTTCCTCTGAGTGGCCCACGTTTAATGTCGGTTGGCCTCGGGATGGGACTTTTGATTCTGATGTTATTTTGCAGGTTAAAGCTAAGATCTTCTCTCCCTCCCTATCACCCCCCTCCGCAGGCTGCTGCGGCGGTTCCAGATGACGTCCAAGCAGAGGGACCGGAGGTTGCTCCCTCTCCCATTGCGGGTCGACTCAGAGAGAGGAGAGGACAGGGAGATTCCTCACACATCCTGCCCCTCCGACTCGCAGGAGGGGAAGGAAACCAGTTTCAGTATTGGCCCTTCTCCGCTTCAGACCTGTATAACTGGAAAACTCATAACCCGTCCTTCTCCCAAGACCCTGTGGCCCTAACTAACCTCCTAGAGTCTATTCTTCTAACCCACCAGCCCACCTGGGATGATTGCCAGCAGCTTCTCCAAGTTCTCCTCACGACAGAAGAAAAACAGAGGGTTATTCTGGAAGCCCAAAAGCAGGTTCCTGGGGCGGATGGGAGATGTACCCAGCTGCCCAATGAGGTTGAGGCTGCCTTCCCTCTTACTAGACCTGCTTGGGACTTCAACACGGCTGAAGGTAGGGGACACCTACGTCTTTACCGCCAGGTGCTTGTAGCGGGCCTCCAAGGGGCAGGAAGGCACCCCACCAATTTGGCCAAGGTAAGATCAGTAATGCAGGGAACCGACGAGCTGCCCACTGTGTTTCTAGAAAGACTTAGAGAGGCATATCGGAGGTACACTCCCTTCGACCCAGATAGCCCTGATCAGGAAGTAAGTGTTTCTATGTCTTTCATATGGCAATCAGCTCCTGATATTAGGAGTAAGCTCCAGAGAATGGAAAATCTACAGGGGCAAAGTCTTAGAGACCTCTTAAGAGAGGCAGAGAGGATTTTTAACAAAAGAGAAACTCCAGAGGAAAAAGAGGAGAGACAGAAAAGAGAGGCAGAAGATAGAGAGACAATGAGAGACCGAAAGCGGAATAAGGAATTAAGTAGAATCCTGGCCACAGTAGTGAGAAAGGAAGACAAGGACAGAGTAGAGAGGAAGGGAGACCAAGGGCGTGTCCGACTAGAAAGAGACCAGTGTGCCTACTGCAAGGAGAAAGGACACTGGGCGAAGGACTGCACCAAGAGAAAAGAAAAACAGAGAGAAGAAAGAGCCAAGATCCTCCAGCTCGATTAGGGAAGTCGGGGCCAGGAACCCCCACCTGAGCCCAGGGTAACTCTTCATGTGGGGGGACAGCCAGTCACCTTCATGGTAGACACTGGGGCGCAACATTCCGTCCTCACCCAAACGACTGGCCCGCTTAGCAAAAAGACAATATGGGTAGAAAGGGCTACTGGAGCAAAGCGTTATCGCTGGACTACAGGCCGGAAAGTGCAGCTCGCCTCAGGGACTGTGACTCATACCTTCTTACATGTACCAGACTGTCCCTACCCCTTGTTAGGAAGAGATCTACTAACCAAGCTTGGAGCACACATTTATTTTGAAGGGAAAGGGGCTAGAATTACAGACTCCACTGGAGCGCCCATACAGGTGCTCACCCTCAAACTAGAAGATGAATATACACTATATAATGCCCCCTCCTCTATCCAGAAAGACATGGGCAGGTGGCTCTCTAAATTTCCTGAAGCCTGGGCAGAAACTGGAGGAATGGGGCTGGCTATCCATCAGCCACCCCTAATCACTGAACTGAAGGCCACCGCGACCCCAGTGGCTGTCAAACAATATCCCATGGCAACCGAGGCTCACCAAGGAATTAGCCACACATCAAAAGACTATTAGAACAAGGGATATTAATCCCATGTCGGTCGGCCTGGAACACCCCCCTGCCTACCCCTGTCAGATTCAAGCGAGAGCCTGTGAGCATAACCTTAGCTATATTATTGGGAGCTGGGGGAATAGCAGCGGGAATCGGGACAGGGGCAACTGCCTTAGTTCGCTCGGACCAGTTTATGCTCCTTCATGAAGCCATGAACCAGGATCTAATAGCCTTAGAGGAGTCCATAAGAACCCTAAAAGACTCCCTGACTTCTCTCTCTGAGGTAGTGCTGCAGAATAGAAGGGGACTAGACTTGCTGTTCCTAAAGCAAGGAGGGTTATGTGCAGCCCTGAGGGAAGAATGCTGTTTCTATACAGACCAAACAGGAGTGGTAACTCAGACTCTAGATAAACTAAAAGAAAGACTAGAAGAAAGAAAACGTAACTTTGAATCTAAAAAAGGTTGGTTTGAGGGGCTATACGATCAGTCACCCTGGTTTACCACATTAGTGTCTTCCTTAGCAGGCCCTCTAGTCCTTTTGTTTTTGATCTTAACCCTGGGACCTTGCATACTTAATCGACTGGTCCAATTCGTGAAGGATCGGCTGTCTGTAGTACAGGCGCTAGTCCTCACCAGCCAATACCAGGCACTGAGAACCCAGGACCCAGACATGTTATAATGAGTGAAAGATTCCACTCATATGTTCATAGAAAAAGGGAGGAATGAGAAAACTAGGCGCCACAAGCCCACATATTTAAAATTGTCAGCCAGAAGCCAGAACCAGCCTTATCTAAAAGCTGCAGGACAGGCAGGCGCCGGTCAAGCTTCAAGGATCAAGCCATAAACAAGTCTTACGGGCAGATTGACCACCCTCAGGGCCCGATACCAGGAAATCAATCTGTGTCCCTGAGGTCACCTCCCATTTAGCAATCCCACTTCCCCTTAGCCCCGACCCTTACCCCATATTTCTGTGTGCTTTTGAAATTACTCTGTGTGTTTTTGAATTAACCAATAACCGCGCTTCTGCTTCTGTACCCTGCTTCTGCTCTATAAAAGTGGCAAAACCCAGCCTGTAGGCATGCAAGTCCTCCGAGGAGACTTTGTGCCCACAGGTACCTGTGTATCAAATAAACCTCATGCTGTTGCAACCCGAAGGCTGACTTGTCCTCAGTGGTCTCACTCTTACAAAACAAGTCTGTAGAATAACAGAACACCCTATAGGAAATATAAAAAAGACCATATAGAAGAAATGGGCCATTAGGGTTACTCAAGGAAAAATGTGGCAAGACTTTTGTTGAGCCCAAATTCTCAAAGAAAAAATTGATAGAAAAACAAATTTGGTACTAAGGAGTATTTGCAAGGCTTTAAAACCAGAAGAACAGTTTAAAGAAGGCATTCAAATGATAAAAACTGTCCAGGGGTGGTTAAGGATCTCCAAATATTGAATAAGGTGCATTTCTCTCTTGATAAAGGCTACACTAGGGGTGGAGGCAGTTTTTCCCACTAAGGCCTCCCCAAGCAGCCAGGTATGGTCAATGGAGAGATGACAGATATGGCACAGTCATGAGGTAGACCCAGGGCCCGCCTGACTCAGGGAACCAACAGGTACAGTGGGAATAAGAGAACCCCCCTGCCTCCTTAGCCCAATACATGGTGAGGAATCTGGAGCCAACAAATATAAGTGTATCAAGGATAAAAGAATACAAAGAGACTCCATGTAAGATTGCCCAAAATTTGAAAAGACACCAAAGGGATAACTAAAGATAGTAGAACTAAACAAATTAATGTCTCGTATCCATGCTATGGTACCTAAAAAGGATCTATGGAGAAAACCATCAATATGAATAGATAAAACCTTTCCATGTTGTGTTAGACCTTGTCTATGATTGATTTAATATATGACGTTAACCTTTGAGTGCTTTACAGATGTGAAACCCATTTTAAAAATACCTGAAGAAGCTGGGCGTGGTGGCTCAGTCCTTTAATCCCAGCACTTGGAAGGCAGAGGCAGGCAGATCTCTGACTCGTCTACAGAGAAAGTTCCGGGCAGCTGGAGCTACAGGGAGACCTTGTCTCAAAAAGACCAAAAAAAAAAAAAAACTAAACAAACAAAAGCCAGCTATAGCTGTAAGATTCTCAGGAGATTTTATGGTTGGGTAAGATAAAAACAAAGGCTCCCAAACTATACAACTGTTAAGAAAAACTACAGTACCAGGTGTGGGTTGCCCTTCTATGAGCTGTTGATCAGAGAGAAATTCTAGCGGTCCTCAAATTTACCAAGGCTATTGCCACTAATGTTGATTTTACACTAGAAAGATTGGTAAGGCCATGTTGCTGAAAACACTGCATGATGTGAGCATGTAAGGAAATGAAAAGATAGAGCTGAGACTAAGCCAAAAACTTCATCCCACCATGTTCATAGTGCCAGAAGGTGCTATGGAGATGGTTGGGGAAGAAAGAATCCCTTATGATTCTGCTCAACAATGGACCCCACGTGCTGCACACTATGGACATGCCAAGCAATGCCTTCAAGTGCAATAATGATTCGACTAACATATGTACAACTGACAAATTTGTAACTGGATAAGGCCCCCTCCTAGGGGTGGAATGTGCATGTGGTGCTGCAGACCAGGCCAACCACCTGTGTTAAGAAAGGTTACAGGCTCTAGCAGGGAAGCAATTGGAAGCAATTATTTAATGAATATAGTGCACCTACTGGGATCTTCTAGGCATTTATATTTACAATTGTGTTTGTTTAGATGTGTCTCCTTCTTTCCATTCGTCTTTATAGTAGGGTAAACACCACTGACATAGATCAATGGCCACATCTTGAAGACAAGTGATGGGGAGGTCCAAGAAGTCCTTATCTCACCATGATACGAAAGAGATTTCCCTACATTTGGCACCCCCTCTGAGACTTAGGACCCTTTTAGAAGATTGGTGGAAGGATTGTAACAGCAGTGGAAAGGGGTGGAGTGTAGTCCAGAAATGACTTATTCCTCCTGACTTCTCTGAAGAACCATGGATGAGTGCAGGGCACCCTGGGAAGAAGGGTGGAGCCTAGTGTTGTGGGAGATCAGAATGAAAGGAGGAATTGGTGCCATTCTGGGAAAAGGGAAGTAGAAGGGGGAAAGCCAGCCAGCTGTGGACCCTGTGAGGTGCTGAGGGACCTTGAGAGCAACCTGTGGACCTGCACAAAACTCTGCGGGTTGAGTGGGCATGTGGAGACACTAGATGAGGCAGACCATGTGCAAAAGTGATTCAGAACAGCAGGTTTTCATTTCTTTTTAAGTCACTTCCCTCCCCGCTTAAAGGTTCAAACTATGCAAAATTCAGATAAAGATGCGTTATGTGGTTTGTCTACCCATATTGGGATCAGGAGACCATGAACAGAGTGAGGGCGGGTCAAACAGAGTGGAAGGAGAAAATTTAGTGGGACAGTAGATCAGAGCAGGCCCTGAAAAATACAAGAATTTTCAAAAAATATCAACAGAAGAGCAGATTCTATGAGATCAAATGAGTCAAAATGTCATGAAGAAAAACACAGATAATGGGCCTGGAGATAAATTATAATGAAAAACCTATGAAATAAATTAGAGATAGCAATGTATTAAGAAGTAGGCAATTATAATCAATATAAAATAATGTAAATTGCATAAAATTTGGTAATTTCAGTAATCAAGATTGTAACATTTTCAACATTTGGATAGTAGCAGTTAAGAACTTTAACTACAGGTTCAGTATTCAAGGTACAAATCACCTTTGATAAATCCCTGTTTATGCAGAGCTTTGATAAATCCCTGTTTAGGCAGAGCTTTGAAATAGGGACAGCCAAATCCTTGTCCACCTTCTGCTGTTAATAATGAATGTGCTTATACTATTTTCATCACATATACTCCTCCATTGTAGATTATTCATGAATCAAAGAATTCTTCATTTAGTCAGATTTATTTAGTAATGGTTCATTATTTTATCCATATTTCACAATTTACCACAAAATGGAAGCATTTACCTGAAAAAAAAGAGAAAAACCTCTAAATTTCTCTTCATCTCAGAATCATTGCAATACATTCTCTCCCATCCAAACATCCATGGTCTTTTATTGGAGTCCAGAAGGCATCAAGTTCACACCCTGTTCCCTTCTACTACCACTGGAAGACCTATATTATACTTGGATCTACAGCCTCCAGCACTCTAGTAATGTGTAAATCAGATCATATGTCCTTCTTTGCCCTATGTCTATCCCTTCTTGGGGTTAGCTTCATTTGGGGCTTAGATTGTCCTGTGGATTTATTGTAGAGAAAAACATTCTTCCAAATGCACATAAACAGTATGTTGCTTTGTCCTTTATAGACATGAGCTATATTTTAATTTCAGCAGAGAGAGACTAAGAATGCTGATTTATTCAAATAAGCAACATCAGATAAATAAAACATAAGATGTTGAGCTCAATTTATCACCAGCATGGTTTCAATATAAAAAAAATAGAGAATCATGACCGCTCTCCTTTTAATTTCTTCTACGAGTCACATTTCTTCCCTGTCATTGGCCACATTTATTCACAGTGATGGCAGACCGTTCACATTCAAGCAGGCTCAATACAGAAAAATAAGAACAAATTTTCAAAACTTTTCACTATTTTTAAGGATTAAATGCTGTAATGCCAGAGGCAACAGAAAATATTAAGGCTAGCACATAAAATAAAAACATTTAGCTTGCACCTTTCCAATTATAAAAAGAGTGATAATGAATTGGAGAGATGGTTCAGCAGTTAAGAGCACAGGCTGTTCTTAAAGACACCCAGGTTCAAGTCCCAACACTCACATGATAGCTAAGAACTGTCTGTAACTCCAGTTCCAGGGGATCCAATACCCTCTTCTGTCCATGGGTAATGAATGACATGGGTGCATTTATATACATACAGCCATAACACTCATATAGATAAAATAAAATCAATTTTAAAAAAGAGACTAATTCTATCATACTTTTCCACTTAGAATAATTGTGATGCTTTCAAATGCCC